GAAGAATTGATATTATTAAAATGGCTGTGTTATGAAAAGTGATCTTTCAATTCAATGCAATCCCCATCAAAATCCTAATGATATTCTTCATAGAAATATAAGAAATAATCCTAACCCAAAAAATACCCAAATAGCCAAAGCAATCCTGAACAAAAACAGCAAGACTGGAGGTGTAATATCTAACTTTATGCTACAGAGCCATAGAAACAAAAACAGACGGTTAGACCAATGGAATAGAAGGTCCAGAAACAAGCGCACACAGCTACAGCCACGCGATTCTTGACAAAAGTACCACAAACATACATTGGAAGAAAGCTTGTTTAGCGAGTGGTCCTGGGAAAACTAGATATCCTCTGTGGAAGACTGAAACCAGATTCCTCCTTCTCACACTGTGCAATAGTCCAAGGGATCAAATACTTCAATGTAAAACCTCAAACTTGATACGACTAAAGAAAAGCATTCAAGCCTGGCTCAAAAGACCAAAAATCGTATGTTCTCCCTCATATGTGGACATTAGATCAAGGGCAAACACAACAAGGGGATTGGACTATGAGCACATGATAAAAGCGAGAGCACACAAGGGAGGGGTGAGGATAGGTAAGACACCTAAAAAAACTAGCTAGCATTTGTTGCCCTTAATGCAGAGAAACTAAAGCAGATACCTTAAAGCAACTGAGGCCAATAGGAAAAGGGGACCAGGAACTAGAGAAAAGGTTAGATCAAAAAGAATTAACCTAGAAGGTAACACCCACGCACAGGAAATCAATGTGAGTCAATGCCCTGTATAGCTATCCTTATCTCAACCAGCAAAAACCCTTGTTCCTTCCTGTTATTGCTTATACTCTCTCTTCAACAAAATTAGAAGTAAGGGCAAAATAGTTTCTGCTGGGTATTGAGGGGGGGGAGAGGGAGGGGGTGGAGTGGGTGGTAAGGGAGGGGGTGGGGGCAGGGGGGAGAAATAAACCAAGCCTTGTATGCACATATGAATAATAAAAGAAAAATGAAAAAATAAAAATAAAAAAATAAAGAAAAGCATTCAAGACCTGGATATAGGCAATGTTCTTGAATAAGAATCTATTACCTCAGGAAATATCAAGAATTGATAAGTAAGATTACATTAAATTAGAAAGTTTCTTCACAGTAAAAGCAACAATCCTAAGAGTGAGGAGACAGCCTACAGAATGGAGAACGTCTTGGACAACTGTTCATATTGTGGAGTTTAATATCCAGGATATATAAAGAATTCAAAACAAACACAAAAGAACAAGTAACCCAATCAATAAATGGACAAATGAATAAACATTTCAAATGGAGTACAAATGGCTAATAAATACATGAAAAAATGTTCAACATCTTTATTCATCAGGGAAATGCAAATCAAAATTACATGGAGTTTCCATCTAACCCTAGTCAGAATGGCTATTATCAAGAAAAACAAATGTTGGTGACGATGTAGGGAAAACTTATACAAAGCTAGTGGGAAGGTAAACTTGTCCAGCCACTAAAGAAATCAATGTGGAGGTTCCTCAAACAATTAAAATTAAACTACTATATGATCAACTATACCATTCCTCAATTAAAAGTAAACTACTATATGATCAACTATACCATTCCTCAAAAAATTAAAAGTAAACTACTATATGATCAACTATACCATTTCTTTTGTTTTGTTTTGTTGTATTTTATTTTTTATTTATTTTTTTTCCTTTTTCTTTTATTATTCATATGTGCATACAAGGCTTGGTTCATTTCTCCCACCTGCCCCCACCCCCTCCCTTACCACCCACTCCACCCCCTCCCTCTCCCCCTCCCTCAATACCCAGCAGAAACTATTTTGCCCTTATTTCTAATTTTGTTGTAGAGAGAGTATAAGCAATAATAGGAAGGAACAAGGGTTTTTGCTGGTTGAGATAAGGATAACTATACAGGGCATTGACTCACATTGATTTCCTGTGCATGTGTTCTGACCGAAGAATCAGTCAGCTTATTGCAGAGTTGCCTGCATGCCCATCCTTATTGCTGGCATATTCACATTAGTGAACTTATGGAATCAGTCTAGGTGTCCATCAATAGGTGAATGGATAAGGAAAATGTAGAGTATTTTTAAGCCACCAAGAAGAATGAAATATATAATTTGCAGGAAATCATCATGTTAAATGAAGTAAGCCAGTCTCCAAAAGACAACTACCATGTATCTTCTCTCATGTGGAATTTAGGCAGAAAAAATAAAAAGGACATGAAAATAAAAGGGTAGCAGGGATATGGAAGGGCAAAAAGGGGAAACAGGGGGAGGATGGAAGAGGGTCACAGGGGGTTTAATAGCTAAAGCACATTATATGCGTGTATGGAAAAGTCTTACTGAAACCCATTACTTTGTACAATTAATATATGCTAATGACATTGTCAACAGAGAGGAAAAAAAAAGATACATCCTTAGGGTCATGAATAATAAATGCCAAAAAGTGGTCTATGTCACATGAGGAACAGAAACAGGGGAAGAAAGATCAAGATTCTTCCAAAAATCATAGGAATCTAAAGACATTTTTGACTGGTTACTATTACTCAGATGAATATTCTATAAACTACACAATGTCCCTACTTCCATAAACTCATTTTGCAATATTCCTACATAAATGCTGCAAAAGCTGTTCTGTACATAATGAAATTGTGCAGCAACAGCAACAAAGACAACATTCATAAGCAATTTTCTATGTGCCAAGCACTTTATCCAGAATTTAATTCTCAAGACAATATCAAGAAGTAGGTTTCCCTGTTATCCTCATGTTGAAAATGAGAAAAGCAGTTTAGAGCTGTCTCGGTAACTGCCACAGGGTTCAAAGCAAAGTGATGAATTAGGATTCAAACAGGTCCACATGTTCCTGAGGTCATTTTCTACACAAAACATCATTATTGGTACAGCATTTAATCCAACCTCCTTTCTTTGGCTCTGAAGGCTGCTTATAATCTGATTCAATTTTGTTGTAATTCTTTGTGTGCTAGTCCCACTGGACTTACCTACTGTTCCCTTCTACACAGTCTTGTTCTTGTGTCATCATTTTTTCCTTTCTTGAATTCACTAGCAATTATTCTATACTATCCATTTGCATATAAAATTTTCAAGAAATACATTGTGAAGAATATTTCTCTTTTACCATGGCAACAATATCTGTCCAGATTCAAACGCTGACTCTTCGTTTGCAGAGTGACTCTGGTTATTAACACCTGATCCTCTGGTTCCTCAAGGTTAAACAGTGGTAGCATTAGCAGTACTGCTCATGTGTCTTGGTAATTAAGCACACTGAGTAATACATAGTTCTCTCATACTGTGAAGCAGCAGCTGGGGAGAGAGGAGGCAGCCCTTAAGGAAGCACAGTGGCTGCTGGTGCATCAGCGTCTTTAGGAGCCTTAGAAATGACACTTCTCCAGCTTGGGGGAAGGTGGTAGAGGAACAGAAGTTTCCTGAATCAGGCCACATGAATAAGAGTTTGGATAACAAAGAAGAAACCACATACTGAGGACCAAAGACAGGAAAACACAGGGGAAGCATAAAAGAGTAAATGGACATCTGAAATACACTAAAAAAGACAGCACAACCAGTTTGCAGTACCACCCTGCTGGGAGGGAAAGACTACCAGAAGTAGATTCTCCACTCGCTCAAAAAAGTGAAAGGACCGTTAGACCAATGGATGTGCAATACACAACGTGGAAATTTAAATATGAAAAACCAGGCAATGTCTCAGCTCCAAACTCCCACAACATCAACATCTGAATCCAAGGATAATGAATTGGCTAAAATGTTGAAGAGAGAATTAAAAGTTCTCAGAAAGTTTTCTTTCTCACTCATTCCTTCTCGGTGCCAAGAATCTGACAATATTTGAAAATTTCACTTCAAATTAAAGTCGAATTACAGTAAGTGGTACAATATAGTACTACAGTATTCTGATAAGTATTGATTAAAAGATACTAGCGTATATACAAAAAAGCTATTTAAATTCAGTAAACACCATAGAAGTGAGATTCTTTTCCAAGATAAATGAAAAAGATGCAGGAGGAATTCTTCCTATAGATATGGAAAAGCACTGGATATCTTCTTCATGTTAGTCTTTTAAGAACATCTTATATATTTTGCTATCTTTTTTATTCATATGTAAAGGAGTTTAGGTTGACTATCAGAAATTTTTTATACTTAGTGCCAATAGCAAGAAAGAAATATGAAACTCTTAATTCTTAGTCCTAGTGAAATCTTTTCCATATAAACTTCTATAATGTTTATATTCTCCAAAGAACCAAAAAACCACTGCAGGACATCCCTTATTTTTTTGTTTCTGTCCAACTGATCTGAACTACATGGATTTCACTGTTCTCTAAAATGGTCTAATTATTTACCAGAATTGTTGATTTTCCCTTCTTCTGCTGAATATATCCTGAATTTCTGTTGAGTGATCATATTTCTCTTAATCTCCATATATGTGTTAAAAATGAAGAGAAACCCATCTCCAGCTTCTAGAATAGGCATTTGGGTGAAGCCCTAGTCAGTAAGAACTTTGCACATCTGCCTGAAGAATTAGTACAGACACAGGCACAATACACATCCCAATTGGTTTGGATAGAAGGGAATTCTGAGATTTTCCCTTAAGATACTAGGAACCAGTGTTATTTCTGCTGAAGTTGGAATTCAGATGGTGTAAGACTTGGGCTGGGAAGATACCAACATGTACAGAAGACCTGCCCGAAAGTGCAATCAAAATAGATTTCATTACATAAGCAATGGAAAGATAGCCAGATAGCATAAGCTGAAACCTTAAAGACAATTATAAGGTCCTGCATCTAATTAATGTTAGCTATCACCAGACTTACCTCAGTCAATTAATTGCTATATGGCTCCTGCCAATTTGACTGGTGTTCTGTTACTATTAATTACAAGATTCTTGACAAATGTATGCATGGAGGAAGAACCTCTTAAATAGTGGAATAAAAACACAAAGTTACCATTGGCTTACCTTTTGGTTTAACAAAGCACTTGCCAGTTTTTGTACTTCTGAACTCAGTAAGGTAGTTCCTCTGATGACTTTGCTGAGTGCAGCAAGAGACTGATGGACACTCTGTACTAAGCGAATGGCATTAAACTGTTCAAGAATGATGAATGATAAGATTGGAGATCCTTGTCTGTCATTAGGAGGAGACACTTTCTGATGAATCAGGTTTGAATTCTAGAAGAAAAATGTCATATTTACTAAAAACACATGTCACTGACATAATAAAATACACCAGAATTTATTAAAACCTTTCATTGTTCTATTTTTTAAAATGGTTTTGAAATACTCTTTTTTATGAATAGCCAAAATTATGAAGTCTGCGAATACAAAGAAAGGGAATTCCTCCTCCCCCATCCTAGAGTAGTTTCAACAGGACTTACTGTTCCATTTTCATGCAGAAGTACATAGTACTTCACCATATTCGCCCTCCTTTACCCTTTCCTTATGTCCTCCCCTCCCACTGTACCAACCTCCAGAAAGGACCTGTTTTACTTTCTTGCCCTTCATTTTTGAAAAAAAAGACATTTTTGTTTAAGATAGTTCTACAGGGAGTTTCAATATGACATTTCCATGTATATATGTATTATATTCCAAATTGGTTTGTCCCCTCCTTTCTACCTTAGTCCCCTTCTTATGATTTCAAAAGATTTAAATATTCTATACTGATTCTTGTATAGAAAATACATCAACCATATTCACCTTCTTTCTTCTTTTACACTCTTTCTCCTGTTAGTGCCTTCCCCATGTACTTCATTGGTTAGGTGTCTGTTCATATTCAGTGGGACTTGTGCCTTGGTGTTGTACCTGTACATGCACTGTGCTTAAATCAATCTAGCCCTGCTCCATGGCACTTCCTTGTGCCTTTTCCCCATCCTGTGGTTTTTAACAGTTTTCAGTATGTTTCATTGTATCTTGTTTCTACAAAGATGTGATGTATATCATTATTCATTTTCTTTCCTTTCCTGCTCCCTTAGACTCCTCTACCAGTCCCATGTTTGGATACATTCTCTGTACATATTTTTATGTATATATAATATTGTTTGTATTTGTATTGGGCCAATATTCCACATATGAGAGAAAATATGCAGCCTTTAACTTTCTGAACCCAGCTAACTTCATTAAGATGATGTTCTCCAATTCCATCCATTTACCTGCAAACAACAAAGTTTCATTCTTCTTTATGGCTGAATAAAATTTCACTGTATATAAATACCACATTTTCTTAATCTCATTCATCAGTAGTGGGTCATCTTGGCTATTTCCACAGCTTAGCTATTGTGAATAGCACTGCAATAAACATGGGCATGCAGGTGCCATTATTCCTGCATGCCCATGTTTATTTCTGACTCACATTCCTTTGGGTATATCCTAGGAAAGGTATTTGTGTATCATATGCCAGTTCTATTTTTAATTTTTTGAGGAGCCTCCCCACTGTTTTGCATAGTGGTTATACTAACTTCCATTCCCACCAGCCATGTAGGAGGGTTCCTTTTTCCCACCATGTCCTCATCAACATTCGTTGTTGTTTGTGTTTTTGATGGTAGCCATTCTAACAGGACTGAGGTGGAATCTTAATGTGATTTTGATTTGCATTTCTTTCATGGCCACAGATATTGAGCATTTCTTCACGTGGGTTTTTTTTGGTTTGTTTGTTTGTTTGTTTTTGCCATTTGGACTTCTTTCTTAGAAAAAGCTCTATTCAGTTCATTTGGTTCTCTTCATTAGATCACTGATTCTTTGTGATGTCAGTTTTTGGAGCTCCCTATATATTCAGCTTATTAATCCTTTGTCAGATGGATAGCTGGCAAAGATTTTCTCCCATTCAGTGAGCATCCTCTTCAATTTAGTGACCATATCTGCTGTTGTGCAGAAGCTTTTTAATTTCATGTAGGGCTATTTGTCCATCCTTTCTCTTAGTTGCTAAACCTTTGGAGTTCTATTTAGGAAGTCATTGCCTATACCTATTAGTTCCAGAGTATTCCCTCTTTCCTGCACTAGTTGTAAACTTTCAGTTCTTATATTAAGTTCCTTAATCCATGTTGAGTTGATATCTACACAGAGTGAAAGACATGAATTTAGTTTCAATTTCCTGCAAACAGATAGCCAGTTTTTCCAGCAACCTTTGTTGAAGAGGTTGTCTTTTCACCTTCATATGTTTTGGGCCCATTTGTCAAAAATCAGGTGGGTGTAGCTGTGTAGATTCATACTGGGTTTTTTAATTCTGTTCCATTGGTTTTTCATGTCTGTTTTTGTATCGGTACCATGCTGTTTTTATTGCTATGGCTCTGTAGTATAGTTTGAATACTGGTACTATGATACCTCCAGCATTGCTCTTTTTGCTCAGTATAACCTTGGCTATTCATGATCTTTTTGTACTTCCATATGAACTTTATGGTTGGTTTTCCAATCTCTGTGATGAATGTCACTGTAATTTTTATGGGGATTGCATTGAACATGTTTATAGCTTTTGGCAATATAGCCATTTTCACAATATTGATTCTGCCGATCCTTGAGCATGGGAGATCTATCCGTCTTCTGAAGTCTTCGATTTCTTTCTTCAGTGGTGTAGTTTTCATTGTAGAGGTATTTCATTTCCTTTTCAACTTCTATTTCTAGCAGGACTAGATACTGCTGAATACAACTAAAACAGTTGAACGTAAGCATCTTCTTAAATGCATCCAAATGCAACCATGGGCCGAGAAGGAATAAACATTCAAAAAATTAAGAATTTGGTTTTTTTAATCTTTGTCTTCATTAACTGCATCCTGAGTACATAGATTTCCTATTTACCTCACAGTAAATAAGTATGTTGGCCCTAGATCATTTCTGGAGCAGCCAGATGAAAGCCCTATCAATTCACCTACCCAAAAGCCAGATATTCCTGTTGCCAAGATACAAGAGATAGAGGAAGAAGGAGGCAGCTGTCCTTTTTCCCTACAAAGAGGCTCTCCTAGAAAATGTAACATAATGTGCTTGGATTCTAACAAAGTATGTAAATGTGTTTTATGTAAACAAATTTATTCCATGGGTCAGGTGACCTAGAGAGGATTCCAAACTTTAGCATTTTATTGCTTTCAATCTATAGATAACTAAAGAGACAAGGCATTATTGTCTATAGTATCCTGGTATTTCATATAGGGATATATCCATTGGTCCCTCGCTCAGAGAGAGAATGGACTAAATGTTCCATTAATGAAATGATCAATTTTAAAGATATTTTAATTTTAAGAATGTAAGAAAGTTCTACTCCTGTTAACTATTTCTGCCCTCTGGATTAGGTTTTAATTTTATTTAACTTCAATGAATTCTTTTGAAATTAAGCTATTCTGAGTCTATAAGCTTGACTGATACATGAATCTACTAACCGGCATGGACAAATAAATAGTTTGTTCAACTTCTGTTCAGAAAAAGCCCATCATCTCTTTTTTGCTCAATAAATTCTATCAGCCAAAAAGATGGCTTTAGATGCATCTGTTTTGAGTAATTTAAATGAGAATTAACAGGAGTGCTGGTGCTACATGGAGTAGACATAAATTGGCAAAATGTTAGTAATTCACAGTAATTCTCACCTACAGCCAGGTACTAAAAGTTGCTCTGTGGTAGCTCTTATGTAATAAAAATTTTAAAGCAAGGACTGACCTTTCAAATGCATGCATGCAGAATATTTAATGAGAATAGATTCTTTGTGTATTATACCTTTCAGTATTTTTGCTTTACAAATCACTCTTTTGCAAACTTACTGGGTTTTGGGATATGAGGGAAGAGAACACAAAAATGAGACACTTTACTGTGCATTTGATAAATGATATAAAAACAAATGAGTTAATAGTTAGCACAAAGTACTGTTAAAAGTTAGAGTTACATATTTGTATTATATAGTTTCCTAAAAAAATTAATCACTAAAAATATAAAGACATAGTCTTAACATTCAAGCATGAAAATCTAAATTAATGAAAGATCTTGAATATGGAAATATTATAAATACTACTAGAAGCTGGTATACCAAGCAAAAATTCACAAAACTTTAAAGAAGTAAGAATAAGGTGTAGTACATATGTTCACATTCTGACTTTTTATTAGATCCTTTGAATAGTCTGTGAAGATTAATTCTAACTTTGAAATCTTTTGGCTCTTCTCCCACTTTATAGTCACACTGCCACAATACTCAGGGAAGTCTCCAGCACCTTGCTCTTAGAACATAACTTCCTAATTCATTTTCAGGTCTCTAATAGCTTAACCTAATAGACAATTTACAACATTATCAATTTTGCTATTATAAAACACAAATCATTTCCTATCACCTCACTGCCCCCTTATTAATTTTTTCCCATCCCTACTACCTAAAACATAAAGTGTAACCTCTGCAGTATGTTAATACCTTTCCAAAATGGTCCTGATAACTTTTGTGACTCCAGTTAGATTACAGTAACAAACATAAGCACACTTTCTTCCTCCCTGGAATACTGGTCCACCTGTTTTTGACTAGAGAATTCCTTACTCAATGAGTAACCTCCAAAACTCGGCTTCCTTAACTTTCTTCTGGGCTCCCAAAGAATACTGTAACACCTTTACTTTCTGTGTGTTATTATAATTGCTAACATAATCTCTAATATTAATCACTAGCACCTAGCATAGTGTCTTTCATATAGTGGTCCCTCAATCCATACTGATAGATGAAGGATAAAAATTTCCTTTTGCCATGATAAAGAAAAAAGTCCAAAAGTGATTCAACTAAGGTTCAGAAACTACTTACTCAGAAACGATTAGAATATGCATGACTTATTTTCATCAAAATTAATTTATTTTCATTGTTGAAGTACAGTTTTTCTTTTGAAGTTTAGCTAGCAACTAACCATAACCCGATAAAAACTCTGAAACTTGAATGTAGCATTAAGTTCTTCCAATTAAACATTTACAAAATTCTTAAACTTTCTCAAAATAAAAGAATTCCTACCATTCAAGTGCCACACCTTAACTTGTCCAGTTGGAAACACAACTTTAATGGAAATTGTTACTTAAGTTAGAAGTTGTTTTTACAGAATGCGGGGACTTGACCTGGCCCTTACTGGTTTAGCACAGACTGGAGCAGGTGCAGATGCCCTATCTGGAATAAAGACCAAAGCCTTCAATGCCTAAATGACATCACAGGTGAACAAGCAACAAGAGCCGCCAAGAAACAAGGGACCTCCCTGTAGAACTAATGTAAACAAATAAAAATGGTTTGTTTTTCAAAAACAGAACAGGAAGGTAAAACAGGTCCCGTCTGGAGGTTGGTACCAGTGGAGGAAAGGGTGGAGGATATAAGGAAAGGTGTAGGAGGGTGAATATGGTGTACTCATGTGTGAAAATGGAAAAATGACACCTGTTGAAACTATTCCAGGAATGGGGGAGGGGAGATAATGAGAATGACGGGGTGAATTCCACTATGATAAGAACTTTTGCAAATGTTACAATGTACTTCTAGTACAACAATAATATAATAATAAATGAAAGCTAATACCATGATAAAAACAAAACAAAAAAGAGCTGCAACAAAATCACTGAACTCACCTAAAACTCAAAAAAAAGTGCTAGAAACTGATAAGGTAGAAGTGAGCATGGGAAAGCTGTTAGATAATATAGAACAGCTATTCTAAGGAAACAGGCTTGAAGAAATCACTGAGAAAGTTTTCAATACTCTGCCACATAAATTTAACAAAAAGAAGGAAGCAATCGAAAAACCAAACGGATATCCTTGAGCTGAAAAACACACTCAGCAAAATTAAAAACAGAAAAGAAGGCATCAAGAGCAGGATAGATCGAACACAAGAAACATCCAAAGCAAAGTGTTCTGGTAATCTTTGAAACAACAGGATTCTATGTAGCCCATAGCAAGGAGAGAAAGTGCCACAAAATTAATCCTTCAGAAGGTATTACACTAAGAGAAGTAGTTCCATCAAGCTTCCTAAATCTATGGTAAAAATATTTTTAAACATATTTAAACAGCAGGAAGTTTTTATATTTATCACTGATGCAGTATCAGAAAAATAGTAACAGATTATTATCTACATTCCAAATGAGGGTTTGGGGAAAGGGAGAGAAGTAATTGGAGTTTCTATTCCTGGGTTGTATCCTGGGAGACAAAAAATTTACATATAAGTCCTTGAAGTCAATTCACGGTGGCCTTTGTGTACTAGAAAAAAATTGTCAGAATTACAAAGAAGGTACGTATGGGTGGGAGTGGAAGGCAGCAATAAAACCAGACAGACCTAAAGAAAGAAGCAGGTGGGGCAAGGAAGATTATACACTACACATCCCAGGAAAGTTCACATGAAGGGGAGTCACTTTAGGAAGTGTCAAAAAGTCTTGAAGAATGTAGCACAGAGGAAAGTTAGTACAAGGCCACATACTAATGTGAGCTCTTCCTTGTAAAACACGTGACTGGATTTCTTGAAAAAAATAAAGATAGAAGTTGTGTTTCAAGGCCAGATTCAATGTATGATAAAAACAATAAAGGCAGTGTAAATTCAGAAGTAGAAACAGAAGATCACAAGGGAATAAGGCAACAAAACTATGTAATAGTCTTTGATCTCTTCCAAACACTGGAAGTTGGGTCAAACTAGTTCTCTTATATTTCAGAAAGACAGAAAGTTGCCAAAATACCCTCTGATTGTACACTATGTCTCTAGAATGTAAGAAGATATCTTTGCCACAAGTAATTAGGGTTACTTTAATCACTGGCTTGCAAATCATTCACCTTGCATCTTGTTATCTAAGTGGACACTGGCAGTAACAGTGTATTATTCTCAGAGCAAACAGCTGCATTACAATGACATACCCCTATTGATACACACATGTGGATGCACATGCTTGTACATGGTTACAATTCTGAGAACTTCATGGGCTTGGAAAATCATCAGAAAATTTAAAACAGCCAATGTCCTTTGTTGAAAGTTGGGAACTGGGCTCTAATACAGTAATAACAAGTTCCATCTTGAGAAAATGAGTATTACCAAACAATAAGGACAGAAGAGCAAAGAAAACTGACTTCACTGTAAATCTGTATGAAGAATGACTGCAGGCCAGGACTTCCTAGTTAGGAATTTGTGCAATGTGATTACTTGAGTGGCTCAGGCAGAAGAGCAGAGCATAGGTTAGGAAGCTGGAGAAAAGAAGAGAGCCGCAGTACTTCACTACTAACCTGGTTTAGTTTCTTCCAGAGGTTGAGGACAGGAGAAAGTTCATTAGACCAGATTTCTCTATCAAACTTGCAACCAGCTGTTACTGAGCGTCCCAATATCCTTAACTGTGAAATAACCTGAAAGAAGACAGTAAGTGGAAATAAATGAAAATAACACCCTAAAGACTGAAATGGCACAAAAACAAACTTGACATTTATTTCATAAAAATAAACATCAAATATAAACAAGTTTTAGCCCTATTATCTCTATATAGTTGGCTCTGTATTTTACTGATTTATTTAAGTAGGTAAAAAAACAAAAACAACCCCAAATTATGTAAAGTTGAGGGAGACCATTAAAGAAATTACACTCTATCATGGCTTCTATTATAAAAGCTGCTTCTTTCTGCAGAAAGTACTCGTTATCTATTATTGATAATCTCTTGTATCTATTTGTTCACTTTTGAAATCCATATTGTTTTTTCAGTTGGATTTAAATCCAATAATTTCAAATACTCAGTGATAATTTTTTTCTTTGCAGCATTACTGGGATTTGTCAGGGCCAAGCACTTGCTAGGCAGGAGCCCTATGGGAGCCATGCTCACAGCTCTCACAAAGATAGTTTCTCTAAAATAGAAAATGACAAGATAGTAAACAGCATATAAACACTGTAAAATATAGCAATTTTAAGTAATTTCTGGTTAAAAAAGTATTCATAAATCTGTTTTAATTCCCTAGATTAATTTTAAGTTATTTCAATGTTTTCTCCACAGACCAGGCTCCAATGAGTGAAATATCAGTAAATTAATTGAATTAAGTAAATTAATTAACACAAAGCAAGATAAATATTCCTAGTTACTTTCACTTCTGTAACTTCATTATTAGTTTATCATTATTCTCATCAAAATCAGTCCCTTACAGTTTCTTTTCTAAGATAGTGTTTAATGGCTCCCATTTTAAGAACATCAATTAAGCTCCTTAATCATGTGCTAAAAATATTCAGGATATTACTGGGTGTGCTAAATACTGGATCACAGATCTTATGGTATGTGTGTGTATAAAATCAGTGAGGCATCCATTGATCATTGAAATATTTCAACTACATATTAAGATTGTCTTATCTCACTGCTTATCTAACAAACAAATGAGTTAAAAAACCCAGGTGCACGTTTTTCTAAGGTATTAAACCTCAATATGTGCAGTATTTTGACTACTTTTTTGTTTTATCTTTTTGAGAGATGGAAGTTGGTTTTTCTTTTTAGCATATTGGGATACATATTTCATATTTTGTTAAATTCTCATATTAGTAAAGTTTGTATCTTTCAGCATGGATGTACTTCTTAAACATCTACAGTTAAATTCAGAAAATTCTTAGAGAGCTTTTGATTGATTTTCTCATGTTAAAAAACTGTGGCAATTCTGTGTTTGATTTTCTTTGTTTTTCTGATAAATTATTTTCATTTGCTCTAGCTGAACTCTGCAACAGCATCTAATTTATCAGCTTTGCTACACTACAGAACATCATTAGTTGGTAGTCAGAAGATGTGCTGTTTTAACGTTGGTAACATTTGCTATCACTTATTTGTGTTTTAAATTTGTCAAACATGACAGAAAGCAAGACTGCAAAGAGAATTGTAAAGGAAAAAAAGCACAGATACTTTTTATACATGATGCTAAAAACAATTTTCGGAATAAATTGATACCAACCCAAAAAAGGTCATGTTTTCTGTCCTAGAAAAATACTTGGTGCTTACATTCTATGTAAGCATTGTGATCTTCAATGAACAGAGGGCAATAAAAAATGATTTCAAATATATATTATTACTAGTGAGGAACAGAGTTTCAACAATGGACCTGCATTTGTTTCCACAAATTCTAACATACTTATCTTTCCATAGAGTATTGATGCCTTTTTTATTAATCATATTTTAAGCTAGTTAACATACTTTTTCAGTAAGACTGCGTTAAAGTGGTGTCAAGTGGATAGCGTTACATTATTTACAAGGTCTACCCACTCTTACCAGTTTGCATCATGCCAGGGGCACTTTTGGGGAAGATTTTAATTCCTATTTCACCTATCCTTATTTCAGAGAGCAATGAGGGACAGCTCAGAAATACCTGTGCTTCTCCTGAGCTGCTAGTCTGTTTTTATCACAAGATGTGCGGTGGTCTGTGTGTGGCTGAGTGTCCCCAGGGGTCTGTTAGGACTAAAGGCCTGGTCCTCAGGATAGTGCTGTTGGGAGGTAGCAGAACCTCTGGAAGGTATCACCCAGTGGGAAATCCTTAGGTCACTGGGGGGATGAGGAAATTCACGGTGACACGTGGTTTCTCATGAAACCCCTGGACTTTTTACAAGAGGATTGTAAAAAGGAGCAATTCCATTTTCTCTCTGTTGCCATCTGAGATACGACCAACTGCTTCTCCATGCATTCCCACTGTGAGATGCAGGCATCCATTGCCCTACCCAGAGTCTAAACTGACAGGACTCACCCCCATCTAGTCTTGGACTTTGAGGCCCCCCCTCCTGTGACCTAAATAAGTTTTTTTCTTTGTAAAGGTAGTTGCCTCTGGCTTTTTGTTATAGTAACAGAAAGCTGATTAGCACATACTAAATTTTGTACATAATTATAATTTCCTTTGGATATTATGAAGTACAAAGAATACTTTTCAATGTAATGCTACCAACCTGACAGAACTTCAGAGAACACTTTTTGGTTGATTGGTTTTGTCTTCTTTCAGCATAAAGTGTTGCAGTCCCTCTTTTCCCACCCTAGGTTTCTCTTTGGCTGATTTCCTCAACTACTGATTATTTTGGAATGAGAGGAAGTATAAATACTCATTCCCATGAGAAAATTGATTGCTAAAGAAATTATCTTCCTTTTTGCTACAGACTAAATGTCTAGAGAACATTTCAAAATTATGAATAAGCAACACTATCAATAAAAATACTGTAAAAGGTTACAACCAGGTACCAAAATAACTAAGGAAAACCATTAGAGACTAGAGTCAAAGAGGAAAAAAATGAAAAGATAAAATAATAGATTTTTTTAAAGCTTAAGAAAATGGGAAGGTTTTATATATACCTAAATAGAGTTCTGTGAGAATTGATAAAATGAAAGCTTCTTTGAAAAGAAATTTTAAAAAGTTAGTGAGAGACAATATTCCCCATATTCAGAAAGTTCACAGCCACTTAGGGTGACTGAATTATCTGTCACAAAAATGAAAATTAAGAATGCAGAGGAAAAAGACTAGAAGAAGCTAAGAGGAGCCATGTGTCATCACAAAGAAACAGCTACAAACTGTCAGCTACTTCCTAACAGCAATAATGGAAGACAAAACAGGGAAAAGGACTTTCAATCACAAATTGTTAAGCTAGCAAAATCATTTTCTCAGAAAAAATAAAATAAGGATATTTTGAGGCCAAACTGAAAGAGATTAAGCAATGCCCAGGAGAAAATGGATAAAACCCTCGACTATGTTACTTCTAGGGCACTTCTTTTGGGACTCCCCCCAACTCTGGGGGTGCTACTCTCCCACTTTATAATCTCAATAAATTCTTCTGCTTTAAACAAGAAATCTAGCATTATGTGGGACACTTCGATATGCCTTTTGGGGCAATTCAAACTAGAAAACCAGAACACAATCAACAAGCACCATCTAACAATGTATTATGCACCCAATAACTGGAAAACACCTTCTTTCAAGCACACAGGGAACTTTTAACCATGCTAACAACTGAGCCAAATTACAAATTACAAATATGAGAACACACATAAAAGTAAGAAAAAAGAATTACATCAGACATAAAAAAAAAAAAAGCCGAGGTTGGTTCACCAAAAAACTAATAAAATTAAGAGATTTATAACCAGATTGAGTTAAAAAAAGAGCTAGCTGATGGATAAAATACAAGACGAGGCAGGAGGATTACAGGTTCAAGGCCAGCCAGGGCACAGTTAGCTCTCAAAAAGCAGAAGCAAAATGAGGAGGGCGTGACTCATGTGGTAGAGCCCGTGCCGATTAACTTAAGGCTCTAGGTTCAACCCCCAGTAGAAAAAAGTGGGGCAAAGTTTCATTTTGAAATTCTAATTTTAAAGGGATCTAAGTACAGAAATAGAAAAAAAAAAAAACCCTAAAAGACAGTATGAGACATTCTGAACTTTATCCTGTAAAAAGTTGCAAATTCAGCCACTGCAGAAATCAGTAGGAATATATAAACCAGTAAGACAGTCTAAAGAATAGAAAAACTAAGTGGGCCAATAATATTTTGTTCAAAATATTAAATTACAAGTTAAAAATTGTTTTTCTAGAAGAAAATTCCTACAGTTCACCAGTAGTTCTCATGTAAGTCCTATTAAAAGTGTGGCATGATCATTCTCTCCTGCTTGCTCTTAGTTTTTTAGAGACTAGAAAATGATTTTCCAAATCATGTTATAAAGTCTACTAAAAACTTGAAGCCATAGAAAACACAAATTCAAAGAGCAGTCTTCTGAACACATATGGAAACAAGGAATGAGTGTGCAGCGATGTTAAGAAGTACATACATGATGGCGTTTTATGTCTGTCTGGTTAACCACAGAAACTGTAAGTCAAACTCACCACATAAGTTAAGGAGAAAAACTGTATAATCCCTGGCAAAAAACTGTCAGCTAATTTAATAAATTCTTTACAAACTAAGGCTAGCAAACTTAGCAAAGATGCAGAGGTCATTTGACATGTGCTGCCTTCCTGCAGTCACATCTTTGCAATGTAATATTGCTCTTCCACATCAAGAGACCTATTTCTCCAACACTTTGACTCTCTCCTGGTCTTGTGACTAGCTTTGACTAATAAAATCTGAAAAGAGTGATGCACAATTTACATGGGCTTAGACTTCAAGAGTTCATCTCTTGCTTTGGACCCCTGAGATATCATGCTAGATGAAAGGCCATGTAACTGAGAACCAAGTGAACCCAGCCCATAGCCAGCACCATCTGAAACATGAACCATCCACACCAGACCACTCTCTAAATGAAGGTAGGCCTGAGTGTGAGATCAGGTGAATGCTGAGAGGAACAATTCAGAATGCCCAGAATCATCACAAAATTATAAAGCACTGTTATTTCAAGTCATTGTTTTGGGATGATTTACTATGCAGCAAA